GTTACCTTTTTAAATGATCAAAATCAAGGGTATACAATAACAAAGAATCTAGGTAGATAAAAACTTGGAACATATTCACAAAAAATAAATATCCTATCTCACGCGAAAATGAACACATCTAAAGATTTATGGATAACATAATCGTACCATGGAAAATATTTATGGTGCTTTTGTTTATGCACTCAGTTGTGAAATTAGAACTAAACAAAAATTGAAATTCCATTTAGACAAAAATATAAATATTGAATTGGGATGATCTGATGTGTTATTTTGATTAGTCATGGGGTAAAGAAAGAGAAATAGAGTTTAACGTCCAATGGGTCCTTTCGGGACTAACACAGGGTTCTATTTTATTTCAATAAATCGCTTGCGCATAGGGGTCTTTAATAGTGAGAGGAAACCTGAGGATCTAGAGAAAACCCACGTGGTTGGATAGTAATGGGGTAAGATAACCCCATCCATGCCAAGGACATCCGTCCAGCACCACAGAGAAGAAACCACACAAGAAATCTCAAGGTAGTTTGTGGGCTTGCATTGGGATCATTCCTGGTTAGTGAGCCAGCACCCAATTGACTGAGCCACCCATAGTGGTAATATAATCCTGAATAATAGCTACATTATAAATTGATAAATAAAATTCTCAAATTACTTTCCTACAGAGTTATGTGCTACACAATTCTATAAAATTTAACATAACCCATGACACTGTACTACTTTAGATTTAAACTTTTCAAAACTTTTCCTTAAGGGCCCATTTCTCCCGTTTTGCCTAAAGGATATATAATGTTATAGAGGTAATGAATATATGAGAGTTTGTCCTTGTACTAAGTACTAGATTGAGATAAGATGAACTGAGTTTCAACTGTCTAAAAACTAAATAGGTAACAAGTCTTAAAATAGAAACATTTTTTTTTTTATTATTATTTCTATTGTCTTGAGGGTATAATTAACATAAAAAAATATAGGACATTATCTTGGCTGTCCTGTAATTATACTATTAACAATGCTTGACACAGGGGAAAAGTTAGCCTTTTGTCATTTAAAGTTTTTATAATGGTTCTTGAAAATTAATGAGGTAGGTTGGTTTCTGTCAACTCAGTGGTTTTTATCTCCGCAAAACTGAAAGGTACATGTAAATGTAATTTCTTTCTTTTATTAAAAACAGTTTTATAGTATACTACCGGTAATCATAACACTAATATTGGTATATGACATGTTGCTGCAGTATTAGATCATATTGCAAATAATATACGTTACAAATGCTCTGTATGGTTTAAATGTTTGCGTGTTTGTGGATGGTACTTATCAAGGACACACATAAGGATTTAAACATTATAATTGAAGGCATCACCTTATATATGATAGAAAGAGGGGAGGAGGGAACATTAACACATACACTTCAGATCATAAGGCCTGTCATGAAGTCATGTGGGTTTGTTTTCTCTAGATTATCTCCACTGATAAAGAACCTTCACCCATACAAGAGTTATTGTAATTAACATACCTTGTATAGTCCCAAAATAACCTAGTGTGTAATGCATTTAAACCTTGTTTCCCTATCTCTCTCTCTCACATGGCAAAAGATTATGTTTCAGAAGATATTCAGTAACAAAATATGCAATAATAATAATATTTTTACAACTGTGTTAGTGATTAGAAATAATTATGCTTTCTATAATGAAATTTACTGTTTACAAGCTGATCATCCAGATGCATCAGTCAGTAGTTGCCGTAAATGATAACACAATTTTATCAGCCCTATACAATGTACATTTTTTTATAGGTAGATAAACGATTATCTTGAAGTGAAAATAGATAGGGATACACATACATGTACCCTTTATCATTTACAGGGGTTAAAGATCAATGATATACAAATAAAATATATAAATTCTAAATACTGATAAACTACTTTATACATAACCGGATATTTATTTGTTTTGATAAATATCATCCCTGGTTAGTACATGTAATTAGATACTCTGTCATTCATGCAAATATCTCTTGGGAAGTCAATGTATCAGTTAAAAGGCCTGGACTCTGTTTCTGAGAGTATATGTAACGTATGCAAGGTAATTTATATATAAACAGCAAAGTAAGGTATGCACTATGTATGTATGAGTTTAAGGTAGTTTATATATAAAGATGAATACATGAGTTTAAGGTAGTTTATTAGATGAATATGTGAGTTTAAGTTAGTTTATATATATAAAGATGAATACATGAGTTTAAGGTAGTTTATGTAGATGAATATGTGAGTTTAATTAAGTTAGTTTATATATAAAGATGAATACATGAGTTTAAAAGTTAGTTTATATATAAAGATGAATATATGAGTTTAAGGTAGTTTATATATAAAGATGAATATATGAGTTTAAGGTAGTTTATAGATGAAGATGATGTGAGTTTAAAAGTTTAAGTTAGTTTATATATGGAGATGAATATATGAGTTTAAGGTAGTTTATATATAAAGATATATTTGAGTTTATGGTAGTATATCTCTAAAGATGACCTAATCAAAATGTTTCAAAGGAATTTAGCAATTTTACTGGAAATACACAGGACACTATTCCTGGTTACCTGGTACTCTTTATTAATGGGCTCAGTAATAAACAGTAATTTTATTACATAGTATTGTGTTCTGTATATGGCCAATTTACTTGTGTGGAAGTCTTAAATGTGATTAGTAGAAAGGCCTTGCCCTTGTGGCTGGAATCATACATGAGTTTTTATATTAAAATGACCAAATTACGTACAGAAGTCTCAGGTGTTCATCATGCAATAAAGCCCTTGAAAAATGAATTACATTATCTGTTAAATTTGTAAGCATCGGTTTTTTATTTAAATGACCAAATTACATGCAGAGGTCTCTTGTGAATTACGTTATTTTGTTAAATTTTTAAGCATGAATTTTAAGCTTGCAAATAACTGATCAAGATTAATTTGATTAAAAAAAAACAATAACAAAAAAATAACACAGTAATGCATACTTTTTTTTTTAAGAAAAATACTAAAAAGATACCTTTCTGACTATCCTGGTATCTGGATCTTTTGGAATGTATCATTTATTCAAATAAATATAATCTGATTGCAATCAAAGTACTTCTTTATTTACAAAAAAAAAAACCCCAAAAATCCCTACAAGTCTTTTATTTTATTTTTATTGAAAAATGCCCAAAAAATCAATATTTTCCATTATATCTTATTCTCACACTCTCTTTTTTTTCTATCTATTTTTGCGATTAAATTAGTTTTTAACATGGTTATCATCAATAATCTGATTAAAGACTCATATTTTCCGTGAATCAAATCAAAATATTAGTATTTATAGATCACAATTTTAGTTGTCATGGTAACAAAGTGCAGGAACAAATGTAGATTACTTGAATCCCCCTAAAAATTGCCACAACAAATGCTATATTTACTTAATAAATGAGAAAATAAGAAGCCTATTTAATAATTCCATTAGTTGACATTAATGTCATTGATTTTTACTAATTGGTTTGATTTATATGGTAGAACAAATCCGTAATCCTCTTACTTGCTATCTTGTCCAACGTCAAAACCAGAAATTCTTTTAATATATTTCTTGTCAAGGTTCAAGGTGGAAATGGGACATCAGATAAGGGGCGTACAATTATTCAGGCAAGCTTATAGAGATCAAGTTTAACTCTTTAGTTCTTGGTACATGTAAATAATGATAACCCCAGTACTTTGATGTAAATTGGAGAAAAGCTAACTCCTTTTTTCATTGAGTTTTGTAGTTTATTTTCTATGAAGCCCCTCTACACCACCTCAAATTACTTGAGCGGCAGAAGAATCGCTCAAATAATGATTAAGCAGCTTTAATAGAAACAAAATAAAATGAAATGGTGTTTAACATCCTACTGTTCTGCACCGACTGGACTAATAAAAACAGCGTAATTTAAATAAGACAGAATCTGATTTTCTATGGGAGAAATGTCTTATTAAAATAAGATACTCCATGTTTGGAAAATAGATAGTGTTCAAAGACAGAATCTGATATAAACATCTTTTAGATAAAAACGTGTCTTATTAAAATAAGATATCTGATGTTTGTAATATATACACAATAGTCTAATAAATCTGACAGAAAGTGGATATAGAACACTGATTGTATATTGATTTAAATATTGTAATATACACCGATACATTAATCTAAGTGTCTACTACTGTAACATCTTTACCTATACATCAATGTTTCTCTTCTATTATTAATGTTTGACTCGGGGAACCATTACACGGCTAAAGTGCTCTTCAGACCTTAACTGACAGTTCACTAAACAACACTTTCAGACAACTTGACTATTATCTGAGACTCAGACATTAGTGAAGGGGAGAGAAAAGAATAAGACTAGCAATTTTCTCTCTAATGACTTCAAATGTTAAAATGCATTGACATTTCTTGGCCTATAAGAATTTTTTTAACATTCCGATGATCTAAATCTTTTTAACCACAATCATCTGATAAAAACATGGAAGAGGTTTTCAAGACCTGTTCAATTATTTTCTACACCTGTTCAAAGGAAATCTATAGGCTGTGAATCATGCATGCCAAATGTGTACATGGGACTTCAGTTTTTTTTGGTCTCATCCAAACAACCATACATTGCATCTGGCCTGGCCCTCAGTCCTGCACCATTGACAAGAAGGAACATCAGAAATTCCTGATGAACTTCCTAGGCCAATGCAGGGATCAAACACAGGACCTCCAGGTTAGCGAGCCAACGTCTTAACCACTCAGTCACCCCCGTAGCTCCCCTGAAACAAGGGTCCAAACGTGTAGCACCACCCATACAACCCATCGATGAAGGGGACAATCCTTGCCTTAATGAAACATAAATTTTCTCTCTAAGTTCATCTGAAAATCAGTCTACTGGTAAAAAAAAACCTCAAAAACAAAAAAAACCAAAACCCCAAAACAAATATATTTTTAAGTCTTTCATTAAATTAATCCACATTTGTTTTTATAATTTCAGGTTCAAATTATGATGTTATTACAACAGTAGTCATGTTATATAGCTAAATCTAATTCTGATTGGTGGTTGCTAAGCGATGGATATAAGATCAAGATGGATGTCATCACTATGGAAACTACTGCTTTTACTATCAATTATAAACATTGTGTCTGGTTGTCCAACTCCATGCACCTGTACCATGTTGCTAGGCAACAAAAAGCTAAGCAACCTGTTGCTGAGGACCCACTCAAGAAATTCTAGCGGAATGGAGTTGGTGTCCTGCATCAACCAATCACTAACAGATGTACCAGTAGGTTTACCAATGGAAGTCATTTTTCTTGACGTTAGTTACAATCAGTTGGTTACCATTGGCAATGAGTACCAAAATTTGACACATCTAAAAACTATAGATTTTAGCAATAACAAATTCAATTCTATGGACAATGAACAGTTTTATAATCTAGACACGCTACAGAAACTAATACTAAAAGAAAATGGTATGACCAAAATTCTGTCCAACACATTTCAAACTTTATCAAATCTGGAAAACTTGGATCTGTCTAAAAATCAACTAATTTCTCTCAATGATGAAATGTTTAACGGGCTAGGAAATTTAAAAGCATTAAACATGAGCAGAAATCAAATAACTAAAATAAAAGGGCTGACTTTCACTAAACTCAAGAATTTACACAGTCTAGATTTAAGTTTTAACTCACTGGAACTTTTGCATCATTACATGTTTGATGGAATGCATGAACTCAGAATTCTAAATCTATCCCATAATTTTATAACATATATATCGGCCCATGTTTTTAGATCTCTAAAAAGACTTGAAGTACTAGACTTGTCTCACAATGTACTCAGATCAACCAGTGATTTTATGTTTAATGGTATATATGCCTTACAGTATCTCGATATATCAAACAACTTTCTAGAATATATCTCTGACTTGACATTCAACAATGCAACTAATCTAAGAACGCTACACCTTGACTTTAATTCTATCCCACAATTCAACATTCCACTATTTACCCACTTACGTAAGCTTGAAATCCTGACTTTGACGCACCAACCTTACCTAACAAACCTGGTCTATAACACATTCACAGGACTGGATAACCTAAAACACCTTAATCTAAGTCTAAATCCACGACTCTCCTTCGTCAACCCACATCTCTTTTCAACGTTACCTAGACTACAAGACCTTGATCTCCACAGAAACAATATATCATATCTCTCAGCACTTACATTCCACTTTAACCTCAACTTGACCCATGTTGACCTTTCCCAGAATCCATTTCTGTGCAACTGTGATATTGCCTGGTTGGCAAAGATGCTTCGACAGAACAGCTCCATATATGGAGATGGTACATTGACATGTGCAATAAATGATGATGACATCATTCCAATCAGTTCTGTGACCAATGATACTTTCCCATGTGCCAAAGTGACACAAAATATTACTCAGAGCAGACGCTCTTATTTCAAACTCGGGTCAGCTGCTCGTATTGAATGCACTGTTGCCTTGGATCCAACCATGTTTATAATTTGGACAACACCTAGAAAAAAGACACTGATTTATCATGCCTTTCATCCAGATGCCACAAAACACCATCCCGATCCAGACTACGTTTACACGAAAAGAGACTGGATAAACAGTACTTCTTATCATTCGGAGATGTTTTATCGAAAAGATCGTGTGATTTTACTATCTGACGGTTCATTGTTGATAGATTACGTACTGCGTAGTGATACAGGACCTTACACTTGTGAAGTCAAAAACGCCTATCATAACGTCACACAGAAAATATTTCTGTGGTTGGACCAAAGCTGTTTATACGACGTACAAATATGGAGTCTGGTCATTGGTGTCTGTTGTGCCACGTCTTTCTTTATTTTGATTCTCATCTACACCGTCATACGTCAGTGTACAATACGTGTCATTAATAAGCGACGTCGTGACGCAATCCGACAATTCTTGGAGAATGTGGACATATACAAGCAAAATCAAATCACAAGAATTCGTGAAAACTATAGCAACCAGCTTACTAGAGTAAGTGACCATTATCATAATCAATTGGAGCGATTACGCGGTAACTACTCCATGCAGATGGGTCGTGTGAAAAGAGGTTGTTCGCACCAAGTTGACAAAATACGTGATAATTATGGAACGCAGAAATGTCGATTGAAGGACTACAGTTCTCATCAAATAGAGCAGATACGATCTGCATATAACAATCAGTTATTGAGAATAAGAGACTATGGTTTGCTTCAGTTTGATCGGCTCCGCGAAACATGCAAGCTACAGCAACAGAATGTTTTAAAGATTCTAGAAACTATGAACATCGAAAACTGTAAAAGTGTAATTGAAACAGAATGCATGAGGACAGAGTCAATGATTTTCGAAACTCCGTTTGTGAACGATGATGATATTCAGGGCCTGTCTTTAATTGGTTCAGAGTCAGACTACATGACGGCTTCGGATGACTCGAAAAGTAATGAAAGTCCAACTCCGGAAGTCGAAACTGGATCTCCAAGAGATGACATTAGTCTGGATGTGGAGGAGGTATTTGATCCAGTTATTTTTGCAGAGGCCGATTTATATTGTGACAACGATATTGAACAGGAACAGGAAGTAGTTTCTGACATACCAGGCATTGATCTAGGTGATATTTCTTTGCATACGATAACCTGAACAAATAAAATAATTATTGTTTATGATTGATTATAAATATAACAGAAGAGGTGTATTTTGTTATTTTTTATGTGATATAACTACGTGTAATTAAACCTACAATGAAATTATAGTCATTTTAATACTAAGTATTTTTATTTTTCATTCAAAATACATATCTTTATTATAAATATTCAAGTGCTTGTTGTGAATAACATACTAAACAAATTAATACACCTATATCGCCAGAAATGTACCATGTAAGTTTATTCTTTTCGAAAAATTTAAGAATAGGATGCTTGAATTATGCAAAGATTCAGCTGTGCGAACTGCAGTGTTAATAATTCTGAGGTTTGGAAGATACTGGGAAATTTGTAACATTTATAAAATCATACATCAGAGAGAAGTAAATGAGAACAATTTGGCCTACATTAAAATATTGTAAGTTATCATGAATTATGCCACAGAAAACTATGAGGACCTTTAATTCATAACTTTAGTACAGAATTTTAAACAGGCATTATACAAGGGCTACATCTGCCTATTGCAGGTCACTGGCCCTCAGAAGTTACACATGAATGTCATATTGTTTGGTAAGCTGTTTGCTATAGTAGAAGTTTTCATACTTGAGGCTCTGCTACACCAACATACTTTAATTTGTTCACTTTATTCATGTTTTGATTTCATACAATATATAATCCCACATTAATTTTGTGATTTTCAATTAGGTCGGGGACAATTTATGACCAGGCAAACTTATAAAGCAAAATATTTTGTCAATCCATTACATCATTTTTTTTTTTAAATTTGAGGTTTTTTTTAAAAATGTAATTTGAGGTACCGGTATTGATTTGAAATTTTTAAATATTATTTGACAATTCTATTTACATACTATAGAAACTATATTGCAATATTTTGTTAGCAGTAGATATTGGTATATTTTGTAAGCCCTAGAAATAATTCTTGGTCAATTTTCATGCTGAAAACTTTCTGATTTTTTTAGTTAATTGAAAAATAATTTGTGCAATGAGTAAAATTATTACACCACAGAGATTACTGTTTATAACAATGTTTTAATTCTTTTATCAGATTTTAATCTTTTAAGTGGAAATTAGAATTTGCGATTTTCTCATATTTTATCTATTTGTTTAAAGGGACAATAACACTCTTGCTGGCTTGACAGCTCCAGAAAATAAAAAATAGCCTTATTCTAAGTACTAGATGTGTTAGTGTCCTACCTGTTGTGTAAATTATTCATTAAATCCTATTTTACTTGTCCAGAGGGTTCAAAAATATTTTTAAATCCAAGCCACATTTGGAAAGGTTTACGTTGGGCTTTTCAAATCATTTAGTTGCATTTTTCCAATTTTTTAAATTAGGTGGGTTAAGATGAAATTTGTATCATCAATTAATTGGAATATTGTAAAATAGTACAATTTGTTGACCAGAATAAAGATTGGGACATATTCAGTTACAACAAGAGTGGTATTGAGCCTTTAAGAATAAATGCTGTTGTGAGACAATTCAATATTTAATCAATTACTGAAGATTCTCAAGGGCATATTCATTAAATCTTAAAATATTCTAAGGATCCAACCTTTGAATTGGATGAAATTTAAAATCTTTTTGTACAGGGCATAGTTTTTTTTAGGTGGCATTATTTTTGTGTGTGAAAAGAATGTCATATTTTGTCAACACACTTTTTTTCCTCTTTAGTATTCTCCAATGAACAGGAAAAATAAAATCCTATGGTAAAGGAGTTTATTTAAACTTTGTCATATTCATAAAAGAATGGTATCTTTACTTTATTGTCAGCCAGTGAAAATCGATTAAGATCATGCACAGGAATGAAATAGTCACAGCAACATATGACAATTTTTATTTCTATATTACTATTAGGCGTGCAGAGTGAGGGTTAATTTATTTCCTGACAGCAACGTTTCTTCTACTTTTCTTCAGATTCGAACCGCGAAGGTTTCTTTTATAAGCATGCTAATGTGAACACAGTTTGGACCTCACATTTTTGGTCCCATCTAAACGACTAGACACAAATGAAAAATATTTGGAAAAATACCAAAGGTTGTTCTCAGCATTTGTCGAGATTGATCAAGTATAAAATGTGGCAAGTGAAATAATATCATCTGCTATTTTTCAAATAATTTAGACGTAGTCTTCCTTTTATTTGACTATATTTATTGGTCAGTTATTATGAAAGTGATATATATATTTAACATAGAATGAGTACTGATTATATGTATGTAAGAGAAGCAGAGTGTATAATAGAATTATACTAGAGATGATGTACAATGATATTCTATATAAATCATATTAAATTACTGTATAGAGATTTTCTTCTTGTTATTAAACTATTAAAATAATATTATTACTCTTATATTATCTATCATCTGTGCCTGGGTTTGTCTGTTTGGGGATGAAGCTTCCCTGTGACTGAAATCTAGGATACAAGGGCAGATCAAGTCTGGGAATTAGATGAGGAGAAAGGGCTTTGATGGCCTAGTGGTCCAGAGTCTCACAATTTGAATTCTAGCTGGCTTTGCAGTCTTGGTAACAATCTCTGGTGTGAGTGTATGTGGCCTTTTAAACCTCGCGGGTTTACTCTGGGTTCCTTGTACAGGAAAGATCCCTGCGCGTGTGCTAAGCATAATAATATAAGACAACTTGTCTGCGATATCACAATCAGTGGAAGCGGACATTAAACACTAATAGAAGAAGAATGAGAATGGTAGTGTTGCACTACCACTCACTGATTCCGAGTTATACCACTTCCAGTTCATGGATCTGGCCATTAGAACTGCAGCAAGATTATTGTATGTGGCTCCCAAAGAACCGTAAATTTTTTTAGAGGAATGCACAAGTCAATTTACAGAGTACAGAAACAATCAAACTCAAACAGTGCAAGATGTATATTATTGGACAGACTACTTCATGTTCAGTACAAATTAACAACAATAATGACAAGTAGACCTCTAGGGTTGTCTGCCCCTACTTAATAACTAGTATTTGAATTCAAATTAGTCTTTAAAGCTATTAGAACAGAGGTTTTAGCATTTTCATACAATATCAATTAAAACTGTTTTTGTCTCCTAAGAAAATGTACAAAAAAATGATCTAGAAATTAATCATATCAATTAACTCAAATATTCAAAGAGCATTTGAATAATAATGAATAATAGTAAAAAAAGTATTCAGTGTAATCACTAATGGCAGAGTCAGAGACTGTAGAATCAGAATTGAATCAATTTTTCAACACCAAGAAATACAATTATTCAGTATAGAATTATTTCTGCAGGATATTTGATATAATGATGAAGAATATTTTAATAGCAAAATGAGCATTAGGTGTAACCACTACTGACTTAATCTGAAAGACTGTGATGTAGATGACAGATGGCATGTGAATAACTGTAAGCTGCATGGTGTGTTATTCTGACATTAACCTTTAATGGAGTTTAAATTAATGCATGTGGTTGGTTTATTGATCATAAAGCTCAAAAGGAGCTTGCTAACCTATGTATAATAAAAATGAAAAAAAAACAAAAAAAACAAACAAATGTATTGAGACCTGAAATAAAAGTCAGAATTGAAAAAAATGAAAATAGATCAGAAAAAAACATTTACTAACCTTTAAATTTGTTCTGTTCCACACAATGACCTCATGACCTGACCTCAATAAGTTCATCACCATGCCCTGTCCCATAATACCGAGTCCCAGGAAGCCAATACGTAGTGGTGTAGGTACCACACCCTTACTGCTAGTAAATACACCTTTGTTTATAAGAAGATTTTCTTCTATCTGCGTTGATGAGGACACAGCTACACTATTAGATGTAGTTGTACTTGGCACTTCCTACAGGAAAATCATTATTTTATTTACTATAAATGAATGGTAGATGTGGGAAAGGGCAAAATGTCCATCTTAGACCCCAATCCCTAGTTTATTTGAACTGGTTTTCCAGATAAATTTCACAATGGCGGCATTCAACAGAGGTTGCCTAGCAACAAAGTTCAATCTCCAAAATAGTGACAATCAAGTGAAAAGGTTTTTTTGGGAGGCCAACTGCATAAGCAAATATCTCAACCAACCATGACAACTCAAACATATTTGTTGCGTTTAATTAAGTCACAATTCTACTCACACCACAGACTGACAGAACTGTGAAAAGACTGAATTGCACTTCTTTCAATCCTGGACGTTCTTGACTGACAATTGAGCATCCCCTTACAAATTTATAAAGGACAACAACTCATGAAGTAACTACCGGTATAAGAAATAACAACAACTTCTTATGCATCTTCCAAATAAATAAGCCAACAGTGAGGCTGATGCACAGTGCCTCAATCACAAAATTAATTCTGCATTTATCGTTTTGTAAAGCATCAAGCAATCAAACTGCTTATCTATACTTAGCTTAAAGTAGCTAAGTCTCTAACTCAATATCATCCAAAACCTTTGACATTGAAAACACGAATTATTTGTCAATTTTAATCAACATTGATGTTGTGATCTTACCGGGAAAAGATGGGCTTCCGATGTCCAATATTTAAGACAAAATAAACATTTTACCATTGGTACACGAATCGTGTACCATAATGCGTTTCAGCGCCATTTGTAACAAGCGACTCGAAGAACGAGGTTAGACATATTCCACAAGACATGTCAAACTGTGACCCCATATTCTTATCTGGAGGGCATGCACAATAAATACTATCAGTGTAGACTGTAATAACCAGACGCTAGAGATTGTCATTCGGTTTAGACTTCTGAACATAAGTGCTTTGAAATTAGAATAAAAACGGAAACAATTGAATGTAAATCAGTTTATATACATTCATATTACATTATTATATACGTTGCGACCCATTTGTGTCAATTTGTAGGTCCCAAATATTAGCGATTTAGCTCCTTAAAGCAGAAAATGATCAAAATCCAACTCAGTCAAGGCATTTACCTAATAAACACCTACACCAAGTTTGAACATTCTATCTCTATTGTGTAACAGACAGACAGACAACAGGAGGAATCGATAAGGTCAGAAAATGTTTACATATTCTCCCTAATAAGGCCCTGGCCCAAATAACTTTATTTGAAACAATCAGAATAAGCTCGCCTATAGCCACTACGAAAGCTATCCAGCAGTTGAAAATTCAAAAATGTTGGACAATGACCTTCGTTTAAACCAATCTGGAAAAATATACCTATGAAATTTGGTTGAAAATCTTTCGGAATGCTTGAGAAAGTTAGTGTTCCTCCCTGTTTGAAGACATCTGAATGAGAATCACCATAGCAACCAGATGATGGACGACAGGTGGTTTAACATAAGCAGTTGACTGGATGAGTCAAAAACACAAGTTTGTGTGCAACAACAATAGAAAACATGATGCAGACAAATCAAATGAAACTGTGGATTTCAATTATCTGGGGGGGGGGGGAGGGGGGGGGGGGAAAGTCAATTATCTGGGGGGGGGGGGGGAAGTCAATTATCTGGGGTTTTTTGTAGTCCTGAATTGTATCATCAGGGTTCTTCGAATAAATACAGTCACCGGAAATAGCGTTTCACTGGATAATAAACGGCGTATGACTTCCCACATGCTACTGTTCAGCTACAACAACACGTGTCATCAGCATCAGGTGTTCTTGTATAACAATTACTGTGTCAAATTTGTATCCATGGAAACACAAAAATCAATAAATTATAAATTTAGCAAAAGGCACAAGTACTATAACAGTCTCTCCTAAAAGTAAGTAGATGCTGGAGACCGCACAACGCGCAAAACAAAACCTACAAGACAAACCTGCGGACAAAACAAACTACATAGCCATTGCAAGAAACAACAAATATCAAATACAATCAAGGTTCATAAAGATATGTTTAACGGTTTATAAGATATGATCCGGAAATAAAACTTTGATGAAAGGCCCATTTCAATATCCCCAAATAGATTTATACTATAGCAGGATAAAAAGTTTACTTACTATTTCTTCATCATCGGGAAAATCAAAAGCATCTTGGAATCCACGTTCTCTTGGTGCATCAGATGTGGCTGAATTAGTCGACGCATAAATTGGTGTTTTGGCTTGTGGTGAGATAGAGTTAGATACTTTGGGCCGTTTCTGAGCAACTGGTGTTTTTTTACTGTCGGACGTTGGAGAATATGGTCGTTTAGTGATGGATTTTCTGAAATTGTCTCGATTCTAGACAAAAATAAAAGCGTTATCTAGATGTGTGCAGAAAGTAGGTTTAACTTATTACCATTTTGCACCAAATGGCCTAATGAAGACAGGATTTACGGTGAAGGAAATCAAAACATGTGCCCAGGCAGCAGTGCAATGACCTACTGTCGTATTTGGATTTCCCACTGTCAATATTTACAAACATTAAAGATTTACAATGGGTTGTACATTGGTTTGAACATTGAAGAAACTATTTTAATATGCTACTAAATAATGAATAGTATGTGTGCAATGGCCGGCGTTCCCCTTTAAAAATACTTACTCTTGGTTTTGTTTGTTTTGTAGTAGATTCTGCTGGCTGAAAAAGATGTTATTAATTAGTACATGGAATAAACAATGTCATGATGATAGTGATACACAGGACAATCAATCCATGATACAGTTTACCACTGATAAATGTTTCGACCAAAAATAGTACAACTAAGAAAATTGAGAGTAATTATTGACACAAATTTTAAGCCAGTACATAAATTAAATATAGAAAATATTGAGGAGCACATAATTTTCTTAATTTTTATTAATCATAAATATCATTCAGAATACAATATAGACCATTTTTTCTGAAGCTGACAACTACTTCTTTTGATCTAATATCCCGAGGCACAAAATTTTGATACTTTCTTAATGTTAAGCAGAGATGCCAATGTAGTACCAAAGAATATAGATTTAGCTTCTTTAAGTTTTAAGGACCTACTCATCATATAATGAGTAATAATGACACAATTTTCTATAACTGCATCATTTGTTTGATAAAGACTAAAGAATAATAGTTGAAACATTGATCAATAATAAACAGTAATTGTATTCCATAGAATTGTGTCATGTAAACATGTGTATCCAGCTCAATTATTAAATTCTAATGAAATTCTTCATCAGATATTTCAGACAATCATTGTCTTGTTTATCAGAATTTACTTATTTTAAAACATGCCAGAGATAACAAAGGATCGATTCATGAATGATAGTAGGAATATTGTCAAAATCATTATCATTACGGTTTTATTCCTGAGACAAGTTCAGGACTAGAAAAAACATTCCTGAAACTTGGATGTTAAAATAGATGAGACCACCATTCTGATAGAGTCCAATAGGACCAAAACATTGTGCAAACTAGTACTATTAAACAAATACACAGAATCTTTTTATGAATTCTGGGGAAATCTTCAGCTTTAAATTACTTGACTGGTAAAACAAGCAGGATCGCCACATAAATATATTAGTCAGGTATTTCCAGTAACCAGCTATTTCCATACAGCCAGGATAGCATTATTATATAAATATAAATTATAATGCAAGAAATTCAATGAGAAAAATGATCACTTGACACAATAACCATGCTTTGACTTAAAATACAGCAAGGATATCATGATTAGACCATACAAAAAGAAATATACTGATTCTCAGATAATCCTTGTCCAAAATCTGATGCTGGAGGGAGGTTTTTATTTTTGTGATTTTATGTTGTCAAGGATCACTACAGGGCTACATGACTTCTCATACACATCACGTTTTAAGGCCCTAAATTTTTCTTACCATGTTCTTCACAGGAATGTATGATTATCAAGTATCATTTACACCGTCAGTAAAATTTATCAGGGTTGGTAATTGATAAATGAGATAAAAGCGGGCCATGATTTGATGCAGAATTATCTGAGAATCAACATATTTATTTTATATGGCCTTAATTAAATATATATAATATAAATTATAATGAGTAAATTAAACGACAAATATTTCGCTCCACACAGAAGAATATAGGGTATGTTTATTCTATATGTCATTGAATCAGGGAATGGTGTAAAAAAACATACTTATATTGGAGGTACTCGATTGTCATCCTAGAATGATACGAACTGACACAATTTTGTATTTGATCGACTGGTTCAGAAAACAGATGTAGTGTGAGCAGAACTGCTATGTAATCAATTGTATCAGCTATGGTGATTGGTCGAGGAAGCAAAATATTCAGTTGGTGGATGCTTTGTTGCACAAAATCATCATATTTTTTAAATTGCCAGAGGGATGTAAAGAATGCAATTCCAGAACATTCAATCGAGTATCCCCAATATGCTAATGCTGTATCGGATCCAAAAGGGCAGGGGAATGATGATAATAACAGTACTTTTCTTGTCTTGTGCCACCTCTTAATAAGCGTGGTCACTTTTACCAAATATCACAACTCTTAAAATTCTGTATAGAATTGTTGCGTGTAAAATGCATTTTCATCTCTCACCTTCTTTTCAACTTTATTCAATGATTTTTCACGTTTTTGTCTAACAGGTGGAGATTTCATTTCTTTGCTACTTTCACTTTTCCTTCCCACAATTCCCTTCTTAGTGAGGTTGGACTACAATAATAAAAGCCTAGCATCTACAGAAGTGCATACATAAGGATAACGATATAGGCATTGCAGGATAAAGACATGCACACACCCAAGTAAGTGAGAATATTAAATCAAATTTGAACTATTATTAGAGTATTTCTTAAGTATTAACCTCTTCATGTGGGGTTATAAATTCGCTGTTGATCATTATAGTCTCCTGTTTACTGTGCCTATGTAAGGTCTAGAATAGCAACAAACACACTAACGATGAGCCACAATGACTCATGTAGCATACTGTCATTACATGGGCCCAGTAACAGGTTCCGTTTTAGTAAAAGAATAGTCTATAATCGAAATGGGCACAGTAGCCAGTGACCATATGATGACTAGTATTTTTGTGGTAATTTACAAATATGTTCCCTGCAGGTTAATTAGGTCATCTATAATTCTTATGTCCTAGAAAAAACAAATTATAGACTGAAAGTGGTTTTTTCATTAATGTTACAATAGATAAAATAAGAATGAAATCCTTAAAAATCATACACAAGGCAAGCTGACAACTAGTTTATTCAGTGTAGCAAAGAGGCACATGTATATACTAGTAATGGTGGTATTTTCAGATTTGGTTTTCTATGCATAGGTGAGATCTAATTAGCAAACTAAAGCTCAGCAACAAGTATATTTTTCTTGGTAGTTTGAGTATTTCCAACCAATAGTTATGTACTTTGACTTGCATCCATCTTTAATATATCTTTAATTTGTATACTAATAATAGATTAGTTGAAAGATGAAATACAGGATTTCAATGCAATATAAAATTATGTCAATGAAAAAAAAAGTCAAATTTTGAATTCCTACTAGAGTACAAGTTTAATTGTTTAAAATCACATGGAGTAATGAAATATGATAAAATAATATGGGGTAAAACGGCATCATGTCTTGTAAACTGTTTTTAATTATCTGCATATTGACAAAATACATAATTTGAAAAAAAAATGTGGTTGTCAGTTTCAAGCAAGTTTTATCAAGTTGTGGTCACTGAAGGACAGAGTCCGGTCACTGAACAACAGAGTTTGGTCACTGAGCAACAAAGTCTGGTCACTGATCAAAAATGAACTGTTCACAAGCAAAAAAGAGAAGGGAAGAAAATAACAATGCTGCTTCCAGTTTTATGTAAATTGACAAATACTCATAAATAGAAAATACTGCAAAAATAAATAAAGTTAAAGGTTATGATCTAAAAGCAGTGAGATAAAAGCAGGGGGGAAAAAGCACATCAATACCATAACAGTGCACAATAAAATATAGTCCATATCAGCACTAAGCAGACCTTTTTTGGTTGTAGAATTTTCAAATAAATCACAGAAATGACATGGTAACTATTCTCAATTTGATCCCCTCTCCCCCCCCAAAAAATCAATTAAGCTTTCTTTGTGTGCCCCAAAAAATCAAATCTCACTCTATTTAATGTATTGAGCCATGGCTCGAAATGTTCGCCTGTCTACTTGTCGCCGACAGGCGATTTTTTCGCCTGACAGGTTGCAAATAAAACTGCCTGTCGCTTGCGACAGGTGGACTAAATTTTACTTGATGTTCAGTAAATTGACCACAATACTCACGTCCACGTCACGTACATTTAATTATTTGTTTCTAAATGCAAGAATTAAGCACGTAAATACCGCGGAAAGCCGCCATTTGCACTGTTTACATTTCACTCTGTCGTAGGCTACAGTTACTCACACAGTTTGGAAGTAGACAATTTTATATCAATGAATTTCACACCATCTACACTTGTTTTCATCTGCTTGACACTAGTTTATAGCATTATGGAGTATTATATCTAAATAAATTAAAACGCACCCCCAAGTCACCTGAAATAATTCTACCGTAACGACACCACAGTAAATATAGTAGTAGTGGCTGGAATGGAAATGCACACGGCTCGTTGCTTGGTGTATTTAATCATTTAAAAAGTTTTAAAAAATCTCCATAAATAAAGGCTATGAATAATTTATAAGACAATTTGACAAAATCAAAAAATCAGGTCGGAAAAATATTTCATATATAAATATAATTTGTAGCGTAAATATAGTCCGGATTTTTGAGAAGGGAATTCCATGTGGCTTTATCTGTCCTTCGCACGCGGTAGATGTAAATACGGTGCCATGCACAGGTGTGATTTGTGTTTTGATATTCAATTTATTACGGATATTTTAAAATCTGAATTCTACAAGTCAACGGTGAAGTATTCGATTTAGTACGGAAGTGTGGTACCATGATACTTTGCGGCATTCATGTGGATACGAATCTTCGAGTCGCTGAGCCAAAGCAGATTCGCCGACTTTCAAGAACTTTTAGGCAATCCGATGTCGAAGAAATAAAAAGGTTTCATATTACGATATTTATATAAGAGCAATGTACGTCAAAGACCTAACCACGTGCGTGTGTACCTACATGTATGGATATGTGTGATGTGATTAGTCTTTGAGTCTGATAATTGAGAGTGACAGGTTATTTACTGAAGCGACAGGTATGAAGAAAAGCTACCTGTCGCTTGCGACAGATAGCTTTTTTTAAACATTTCAAGGCTTAATTGAGCCCAATATTAGGTTTAATGTGAGACACAGTGACTCAGTGAGTATGAAGCTGGCTTACAAAAGGATAAGATAATCGATAATATTAGTGGGATTCCTGGTTTTTGTTTGAAATTCACCATTAATGTTCAAAAACTATTCCGTGGAATAGATAGTAAAGCAAAACGAAAATTCTACCACCAAAGCGGTTTAACAGATGCAGTGAAGCAATCACATATCCCATACTATAACGAATCACCACAGCTATATATACATGTACTGTTAGAAAACCACTATATATCTATATATATATATACAATTTATGATAATACACCAATACTACCGGTTACTTACTTTAGCCTTTGACTGTAATAAACAACAACACAAAAATAAACAATTTATAACAAAATATCACAGTATCGGTGAAACATATTGCTGCAATAGCCAAGTTTGACTTAAACCTCTGAGCAATATAGAAATCCCTTGCTAGTTGAAACACAGTTGAAAAGTGGTTCAGTTCCATTCACACTCATTCAGTATTTACAAAGATATGATGAACTGAAATTCCATCGATGTTTGCTGCTCCGGGTGTTAACAAGCCAACCACCATTGTTATGTTTTGCGAAATCTAATTCATGGGCCTGTTGTTAATCCGACTGAATCGAGTGCTCATATTTTGACTTTATTTTCTTAATACAATCTTTAATAATCAATCTATATGCAAATATTAGCGTGGATTAAGCTGCAAGAAATTTGATATTTTCCAAAAAATGCAAATCACGCAAAGTTACTATAGATAACATATAAATTTGTTACAGTCATTAAAAGTATAAAATAAATAAAATAGCAAATTTAGTACAACTGGTTATAAAATCAAAATTTAAAAATTGAGATTTATTTTTTACCTTTTTGCCAGAGAGAGGTTCACGAGAATAATCTTTCTGAGGAGTGGATTTTTTCTTTGTTGGAAAAATCTGGGCGAGTTCTTCATCAATACTTGGTAGTTCTCGCTCTTGTTCCTTGAAATATACCGTTCACAAGACGAAAAAATCAGTACTGGATGACAACCTTATAAGACCAAACAAATCTGCATCAAACACCACTATACATCTTTTATATGCCCATATAATTTTATGTGAACATCCAGTATTCGCTGTTTGTCTTCCATCTGCAATTTCTTGTGGGCATTCTACAGTGATTGCCATTTATGTCATGGGAGCCACTGTGGCTCTCTAACCAGGAGGTTCGGGGTACGATCCTGTGCAAGGATAGCGTCTAGTTGTTCGGATGGGATTAAAACAACGAGGTCCCGTGCTCATAAAAGAACCCTGTTGGAATTTGAAATATGAGTAGGCTGCAGTGCCAAACCTGGAAATAAGGCACCTGTCACAGACAACGTCAGGCACAGATTGAGGCTTTGTCAGGCACAAAACCTCTGGTGCCTGTCATTTTGTCTGGCACTGATTTGTATTTTTTATTGACATTATTACTACATGTCCGTACTTTTTCATTAGTGCTTTATACACTGTATCACCTGCGCCCATCTTCTTAAGCTCAGTTGAGTCGGCCTACAAAAGTAGGACATTAAACCTGATTTCATTTCATTGTGTCAGAAGGAAACACAGTATCAAAATTGAAAATTGTTATCTGCAGAGCTATCTCCATGATCATGATCATGTATTGTGAATATAATACTGGGAAGAGTGCATAACAGATTTTTTTAAAAAACGGCTCAATAGATTTGTTGAAAATGACTTTAAAACAAGCCAAGACAACTTTGCACAATATGGAATGGGTTTTAATGTCAAGTCATTACAGTACTTGGTAATTAGTTATGGTTATATGCTTTCCATGGTTACATACATGTCACATGTGCATATTGTGCAGTGCCGAGTGAAGGGGTATATTTATTGGCTTTCGCCTCAAAATGGAACAGAGTTTAACAACACACCAACACAATATCTTTGTTGATTTCTATGTTCATGTATGCAAAATTAGTAAGATCAGTCCTTGAAGTGATTGTTCGCAAGTTAAAATTCACAGGTTTATATAGTTATTTTAACAGAATTCTTGGCTGACAAAGTATGAAAAAAACTAAAGTAACAAGCAAGTTACTTTGAAATATTTTTTGAAAGTTTGATAAAGCATTCTACTCTAGTCTGCTGAAGTTGGAGGTAAGCATGTATTATAACACGATCATATAATAATCACGGGTTTGTCTCTGTTAATACAACAATACTGATTTCATTACAAAGCCCAAACAACATCAAAAATAGAGGCTACTTTAAAAGCTTCAGGATTTTTATAACTTGCTGTCTGTGTGTATATGGGTGGTAACCTAATCACTTCAAAGGCTTATTTTGACACAAAATTAAAGCAGAGTGTTGTTTCTGTGAGGCTACCCATGGAATGTGTCATTTTTCAAGGCGGCATATTTTCTAGGTCTTCTCTTTTTGCAATTGTTAATCTATAGACTTATTTTTTTTAATGTGTCATTTATTCAAAATGACTTAAATCTTAATAATTACCTCTGCTGGCCTCAGTTTCAATTCATCATCAGCAGCTTCCACAGCCTCTTTAAAACCTTTAGGAACTCGAGATGAAGGTGTGGCTTTCTCTTTGTTTGAAGCATAATGCAATAAACTCTCTTCTGGCATCCAAGCACTAAAAAATAATATAAAGTATAACAAATTGTTTCTTTGTAAAACAATATATACACCGCTTATTTTTCAAAACTAGGGAAGACACAGAATTTCATGGGCTTTGTCCAATTAAAAGTAAGGTTACCCAACAGATGTAGCACACAGCCCAAATAATCTATCATTTGTGCGTGTGTAAAATAAATGTACCCTTTGCTGTATCTATTTGGTTAGATAATTTTTTCTCAAGGTTGATACCTTTGAATTTTACTTACAACTTTCTAATTATGTATTTCCTTCTGTTAAGTTTTAAGTTGTGTGTCCTATAACCTGGCAAATGGTGAAATGACTATAATAATTGAGACACAAACTAATTTATCCAATACTTAAGTGGAATTAGATGTTCCAAGAAGAGTAAGCATGTCATGAAGGATAATATAAAACAATAGTGACAAAACAAATCAAGCAGTGTTTCCCGTGTTTAAGTTTGTTTCCTGGACCCCAAGATTAGTCTCTGGGTATCCAAAGGGTTCCCAGATTATCAGAGGATAGGTAAATCCCTGGATACAGACATTTGTTTGGAGTTATTGGAACCTGGGGGGCAAATTTGTCTGGCTGTAGAAGTTGCCACAAACCTAGGATTACTTGTCCGCAATATACTTACAGAGAACAAGATAAGAACATCACACCACTTTACCAGGCCCCAAGTTCACAAAACATTCTCAGACTAAGTTAAGAATTTACTCAACTTTTAACCACTGTTTTAAGAGAAATATCTTTGATCCAGAAACACAAAACTTTACACATAGTTTCTTATTGATGTATTTGATACATTAGAATAACAAAAGTTTTATAAAGGGATATATTTTAGTCAATATAAGACAAACAGTTTTGAGTAAAATCTTAACTTATGTCTGAGAATGTTTTGTGAACTCTAGTAGGGTGACCCACCATAAATAAATATCTCCATATATCTCCTTATATCTCGACAATTACGCCACAATATTTATATATATGCCAAGCCTCAAATCAGTTTCACACAATTATAGTCACTAAATAAACGATCATGTTGTACTTAATAAGCTATGACCATTAATCATCTATAAATAATAGACTGAAAACTGGTTCCAAGTGTCGTCCATTACATCCAGACACTTTTGAGTAAAAGATAGGTTACGTGCCCTTGTTTTGAAATTAGTCTCGCTTAACCAGTCTATCGACCATTCTACGTCTGATTGACAGGTCGGGATAATCAAGACTACTTTTTTACGAAACATAACAGAAAGCTAGAACAAGAAATTGAATTTAGAAATAAGCACGTTAGGTAGCTCAACAATCGTTTTAAGAACCTTGTAAAAGTAAAATGAAACTACTGCAAGTATCATGTTCCTGTCTAATCCGAGTGATTCAGAGATATTATTTGTACTAAACCAAAAGATGCCGCTCTTAACGGTACAGTTAATGATAAAGCGATTTAAAAAATGAAACGAACGTAATTTCTAAATCTGCTGTAATAACCAAGAAGCTTAATTTCACTGCTATTCAAAATCGTCAACAATAAATTTTTTACGGCTGTAATAGTTGATAGATTTGTAGAGAATTGCACGTGCCATGGCTATTTATAGTATCATATTGTCAGAAAGTTGGTTTCGGCACGGCGAATGTGTACGCTTCAGTGGTAGTCTCGAACTATCAGCGGTGGACTTTATTTCTGTAGAGCACATGGGCCACCCTAACTCTAGGCCCTATTAATGTATCATTATGTTAAACCGCAAAGGATGTGCACAGCTGTGGCACATGCAAAATGGTCCTAATGCAGAAAGCTGTTCCCATTATCTCAGGGGAATTGAGGTGGTCTAAGGAAAAGCAAGTTCGGACTGTTTCTGTCTTTTCATGGATGTACTGGTGTTAATGTTTTTCTCTAATTTTCTTTAAGGTCCTGAGTTAGTCAATATTTATATGTACCAAGTGTTAAAGAGTTAAGAAAGTAAATGAAGCACTTACTAATTCTCTGATCCAAAGAAATAAACAAACTGATGTGGCTTCTTATTGGAGGGTCTCTTGATGTCAGATTTGGGTTCTATCACCTAAAATAAAGATATTTTCATCAAAGACTACAGTACTCAAAAACAATCAAAAGCAACTTTTCGCTTTAAAAACAAAATTAAACCACCACTTTGTATTCTGTCATACCAGTAACAATTTAAAGGTAGTACGACATTTCAGTCCTGCGTCATTTCAGACTCCACAGATGACCTTTCGGACTCAGTTTGACGATGATTCAGACTCAAGTTTGATGACAATCTGGACTCGATCTGGCGATGCTTCGTACTAGGTTTCTGACTCAGATGAATAATTAAAAGACTGTTGAAAATTTGTGTGATATATTAATAACAGTTGTTGTTTTTTTTTCGTTTATGTGAGGCTGATAGTTGTCTTTTGTATTATTTAATTGATCGGCGATTGTATAGACCGCTCATAAAAAGATTAACACTGCTTGTTCTATCTTGTTTTGTTTCATCGGCGAGTATTGAACTTGAAAAATAAAATATTGTTGAAAATTTGTGTATATTTAGTAATACTTCATTGTTTTTCTTTTATCAAACAGTAAACAAGCTTGATTGACTGATAACAGCTATTGTTTTTTATAATTGTGAAAGCCTAAATGTCTTTTACGTGAAACAGAATATTTGCAATCAACACATGGTCGCCAATAACGATGATTGACTCATGTTTTTCCTCATCCACCAAACAACCATATGGTTTCTTTGCACATACTACAATAACATCAGGATTATCGATCAATCAGCTTTATCCCGCTTTGATCGCTGCCATTTCTAATATTTTCCGAAAAGACCTTTCTTTGTATCAGTTGGTACTGCTATCTATGGCGAGCTTTTCGAGGAATGCATGTCAACGCGCAGCTTACAGATTATTGTCAAAAACTTCTAGGGACTTGTAAAAACAGTGCATGTCATGTAAATATTTACTTTTGTTTTCGTGTAGGTCATTTTGAAATAAATTCAACAGCATATTATTCTTTTTTTAAAAAATATATTACTTTTATGGGAAACGATGATAAAGAACCATAAGAAATAAAACATTCTTTTCATAAACATTCAACATGGACATTTTGCCTTTCCTTAAGACGTCTATACGACTCCACATGCTGTACATGTACTTGAGCGGTAAATTTTACCTACATGTTAGTTTTAGAAAATCTTTTTTGGCATATTATAAATTGATTGTTCAATCTATCCTTTCAACTTATTCCCGAGTCTGAAACGTCACCTACACGAGTCTGAAGTGAAATGTCACCTGTCAGAGTCTGAAACAAACATCAATATATCTTTTTGAGTCCGAAATGTCTAAGTCTGAAATGACGTGGGACCAAAATGACATGTAATCATTTCAAAGCCTAAAGTCAATAAATATTGTTCCACATCATATTCTAATTAACAAATTTTGATGGAACAGGTTGTGTCTTGTTGGTCTAGGCCAACATGTTTATCTGTAACAAAATAAACCTCTTTGATTTACATGTAGTTAAATATAAAGTTTTTAATTGGGTTGATCTGATGTCAATAAGTGATGGGTTAAGTCAATAAGTGATTGGTTAAGTTTAATATGATTAAAATTTTGTCAGCTTGTTCGATAATTTTATGTTTCATGTTTGCATCTATTCTTAAGATTCCTTGGCTTGGATACTGCAATCATTTGTATTTTTATGAATATATTCATGTCAAAGTACACTAAAATCAAGTTACTGTAGGCATTTTTGTTCATGGCTAATTTCTAGAACATCAAATTTGAAATTAAACTTTTTTACAGATGAGATATAACTAATTATAAAATAAAGTGAACAAGAATAACTATAAAAATTCCCAGTAGAAATAACAGAATGCACAGAATACTTTATTGATCTGTTGGCTGTAATAAAAACATTCATACCAAAAATCCTGTTTTCACTATCAACAATCGTTGCCTATTTTAAAAACTATTAGAATCTATATAATAATAATTCGAGATAGATCAACAACCACAAGGGGGGATAACTGTGCTACATACTCAAAATCTTGACAAAATAAACGGTTAATTTTCAATCTTATCTGCCTTCATTAACAATAATTCCGTTGATAAATGCTATTTTAGGCGTTGCTTCCCCTTGATATAGGTAAATATTTAGATTTCATAACATAACAAGAGTGCAAACCGGTTTGAAAGATTTGGACACAATGCGGAGATTTGCACAAATTTGGGAAACCGTTACCGGCGACTTAAATACGTACCTTTCCAGGCCAGGCGGGGAACCCCTTCATCTTCGCCCTATAAAAAATAACAAAAAAATATATAAAATTTAACAGCAATTCCAAAAATAAGATGTATTATTATCAAAATATTTATTTTATTGCAAAACTTACCATACGAGATCGCCAACTTTGAACTTGACTGCCATTTTGTAGAGTAACAGAACTTTACATGGAATGCTGGGATAGCCTAAGCGTCGGCAGGTGCCCGAATTACACGGAAAAAGACGGAAACTAACGAGTGGGTCGTATCAATGGGAGGCCAATTTCCACAGAAATCTGCTTTCAAAGTCCGCTTTGTGGACTGTAATGTATAGTAATAAAAACGTTTTAATTTTTTTTTAAAAAGACGAAAGGAGTTAGGATTATTGATTTTCTATTATATTATTTCTTTAATATAATATGAAATAGAATATTTTATTTTGAAATAAAAATATGTATGGCTTATTGCTATATATCACCTCTCGCACAGTGCATGACGTATGCCCCACCATCGTTATTCAGGTTGGTGCAGAAAAGTAAGCCGTTAATCCCCATTCGTTCATTCATTTGTTAAGCCCCCACCACAAGCTTTATCTTTTAGACAATATTTTGAAAAAAAAAACCCACAATGATCAAACTATCAAAGTCTAAACATCACCAGTAGGGCCTATATATATAAAAAAAAATAAAGGGACAAAGGCAACCACAACAAAATAAATAAAGGGGCTTTAGGTAAGATTAGAAACAGATCTGACAATTCTCGATATAACAGCTAAAACATAGATAATGAAAACAAAATATACTGAAAATTTCAGTCAAGTTGCTTCACTCTGAATCGAGATATTAGTGATTCAAAATTAGGCTAGCCTGGATCGCCATTACTTATAAAGTTGGAACGATAATAAACAAAGTCTCGATCATCCAATTTTACGTTAAATTATCCACCACAAAATGTATTCAAATCCACTAAATATCACAGGCTAACGATGGCATCGAGAGTTGATTATGGTCTGGATAAGTTAATTAATGTCTAATAATTTAGATAACATTTCAGGCATAAAGAAAGACCTGCAATAGGTTGCATAATCCATGTTTAATTAAATGTTGTCACTGTACATAAATACAACTAAAATAAACATAAAAACGTGGATGAGAAATTTAGACCCCGAACTTTTTCGTCTGAAAATAATATATAATTCTCAATATCATAATTATCGCGTTATAAATGTTTCCCTAAGAGAGTTCATCATATTTTTTCAAAATTCCAAATAAATAACACAGAAGCAATCATAATAAAAAAAATTAAATTTTGGACGATGTATAATTTCAAAATGGTTATGATACCCAGAAACGGAACAATGAACTTATGAACAGGATGACGACAGTTTACGCCACAGGTTTTTAATTATTTCATATTAGCACATATTTTTGAATATTTTAAAATCACTATGGCCCTAAGATTGGAAAGTCGCTGGTAGGTGGGGGAGGGGCAGTGCGAAAGGCGCTGGCTAGCTAACCATCAGGTTCAGGGTTCGATCCTGCTGTTGGCTGTGGTAGTTCCTCGTCTAGTCGCGAGGATGATCCGAAAAACAGAGGTCGCGTGTACACGTTTGAGGCTTGCGCGTAAAAGAACCCGTGGCAGTTAGAATTCGACGAAGAGTAGGTGGAGACGCCTCTGTCTGTAAAAATAAATCTGGCCACTCCATGGCACTGGATGGCATGTGCACGTCTTTGAGAACCCGGTTGGTTCAGAACAGTATAAGAACAGTAACCCCGGTGGTAAAAATGTCTAGTCAGAAAGTATCAAATGACAGGGCCTCTAAGCTTGCATGGGGCCCCTTACCTGGTTGGGAATATGGCCCTTGCAGCGAAAAGGGTGCATATTCTGGTCATTGACACACTCACACAAATGTAAGCATATAGACAGATTTAATTGGCACGACCTTGTACAATGGTACCAACTTTCTTTAAAGGAGCAATTTAGGGACCAATTTAATATTAGCACCACTGGCTGCAGCCCGTGAAGCCCCACCCCACCCACTTTTAATCCTTCTGTTGAAGATACTTTTTCTAGCGCTACAAATGTATTAATTACAGTATTCGCATTTCGCATTGTTTTAACGTCTGCTTCCACAGAAGTGATATCGCAGATGTAAACGTGCTTCGTTCGTTCGTTCTTGGTGTTTAACGTCTGCTTCCACATAAGTGATATCGCAGCCAAGACATAGGAGAGCCGAAGCTGATTCCTGTTTTTTTAGAATATGATTTTGCAATCTTTCCATTTGGCCTTAGGCCATGGATTTGGTTTAGTGGGAAGTTCTTCCCTTTATTTAATATAAAACATATCGTTTGGTAGATGATCTCGTCTGCTTCTGGATTGGTAGATGTCATCGTTTTAGTGTTTAGGTGCCAGGCCCGTCTTATCGTGGCCTCCCCTTTCCCACTATCCCACTCTCTGGGTTTGGTATCAGTTTTATTTGCGGAATAGTGTTTAGGTGCCGAGTTCGTCTGACCGTAACTCCCCCTTACTCCACTATCCTGCTAGTTTGGTAGATGTCATCTTTGTGGGGTTTGTGTTTAGGTGCCAGGCCCGTCTTATCGTGACCTCCCCTTACTCCACTATCCCATGGACTATGTAGGTTTGGTGTCTGTTTTTGGTGGAATAGTGTTTAGATGCCGAGTCCGTCTAATCGTGACTCTCCCTTACTCCACTATCCTGCCAGTTTGGTATAAATCCCCTATGTAGTTTAGTGTTTAGATGCCGGGCCCGTCTAACCGTGACCCCCTCTTACTTCACTATTCTACTTAGTCCAACTGTGTCCATTAGGGCGTGGATTTGTTCGAAGATTTGCAGTTTCAGAGCTGGTCTAGACCTGTTAGGGATCATGCAATGTTTTACATTTATCTCAAAAATGTGTATTATGAACGTAGACGCGCCGCTGGTTGGGGGGTCTGGGGGGCTTCTCCCCCCTGAAAATTAATTTTGATTTGACAACGGGAAACGCGTTTTGCAAGCACTTCTGGGAGAAATCTAGGTATCATATTTTCCAAATTTATGCTGCTATTTTGACTATAAGACATACTATATATACTGTACTACACAAGACACTCATGACAGGTCTGCTTAATATAATGCTAATACAATGTATTTCTATCCAAATAATAAATTGCATCTTATACATATCGAGGCATGAATACGTGTATCAAAGACCATTTCACCTTATAGGCTGGTTGGAGAAGGTGACAAATCCAGCTTAGTGGGAAGAAATTCCTACCCAAATGATTTCTTCATTTTCTGAAACAACTATGTCCCTAGTGTTCCAGAAAAATTTTCCCCGCCGATCGGAGTTGAGCAAAATTTTTTACAGCACTTTGAACTTTTGACCCCCTAGGCCAACATAATGAAAATGAAAACCATTTATAACTTCAAAAATATCAATTTTACAGCCTAGAAATGTATTATCAACATATAGGAAAGTGATACCAAGGAATCCAGAAATGACGCCAAAAGTAACGCGCGACGTCACCGTGACGCCAGAATACAAAATGGCGGAACTATTACGTCACTGTGACGTCAGAATTCTTTTCTCCTTTGTCAAATATACGCAAGTTGTAATTTCTTATTCTAACTAGCCACTCTGCTTATTCTGACTTGTATCCAACCCTGAAGCTGGTCTGACTTGTATCCAGCCCTGAAGCTGGCCGTGGATCAAACTGAAAGTAGTTTTACGCACGAGGCACGTTTACGACTTCTCAACAAATTGCTGGTTCATCGTCGAGGTCATTAATGGCTCAGACATTGCTTCCGACCGTTGACAGAGTTTGTATCGAATGCGGGGAAGGTGTGAAAAATGGACATTTGACCAAAGTCGGCAAAACTGGACGAGAAACGTTGATGAAATCATGCGAGGCTCATGTGCATGAAAACTTGAAATGGAAATTCCAACAGGTAGATTTATGCTATATTCATGAATATTGTCGTAGAAATATCAATGAGAATTATCGCAAACGGGCGAATGATGCCGGATGTTCGGGTGATGATGATACCGCGAAGAAATTACGATCGAGTTTGTCCACGTTTGATTGGAATATACACTGCCTATTCTGCTCAGCCCCAGCCATACAAGACACAAAAAACCCAAATCGCGACCCCATCGTGATTGTGCGAAGCCTGGAATTGAAGCAATCACTTCTTAGAGACTGTGATGCAAAAGCCCATCGATGGACCGAGGATGTTAAACCGCGATTATTGTCATGCAATGATTTAGTTTCTCCAAACAGCCGCTATCATAAGCGATGCTACCATGAATTTAAATTGTCAGAAATCCCCGTTTCAGACGTACCCGGACGTCCAGTTAATAAAACCCATGCTGTTAATTTTGAGCTATTATGTGATTGGTTGGAAAAAGAAGTTGAACCTTACTCACTTACAGAACTCTATGAAAAAATGATTGATTTGAGTGGTGATCCTGACAACGTATGTTCTGAAAAGTGGATGAGAGAAAGGCTAAAACAACGGTACGGGGATCATATATTCTTCGCTCAAGCATGTGGGACGAGAAAAGACGTTGTGTGTTTTAAAAATATGGCGGGTTACATAGTTAACCAGTCATGGTGTGAAAATCAAGAAAATGATGTAGAGTCTGAATCACGTAGAATCATGAAAACGGCTGCGCGACTCATCAAAGCAGAGATAAAGGAACGACATTATGAAAAAGAAACTTATCCTAACCAAAACGATGTTAAAGATGTTGACACTTGTCAATCGTTTCTAGTGAACAGTATGCGTGTATTTTTGAAAGAGCTGATTGGAGGGACCCTGAAATCTGCGGCAATCGGCCAAGCCCTAACTCAAGCCACTAGGCCTCGGTCGGTGATTGCTCCATTGCTGTTTGGTCTTGGTCTTGAAACAGATCATATGATCGGTTCAAAGTGGACGATAGAAGAACTATGGTCATTGGGGTTTTGCACATCGTATGATGAGATTCAACTTTTCAAAAACTCGCTGGTGCAAGATGCTGATATCAATAACTTTTCAATAGAAAAGTCAACACCTGTTAGTTTTGTTGCTGACAACGCTGACGCCAATATTAAAACCATAGATGGTAAAGGGACATTTCACGGCCTTGCTATTATATGCGCCACAAAACAGAGGCTAAAACGATATGATAACAAGTCAGTTCGACGACGTGCCA